TCTCCATAATGGTGACTAAAAGTTGAGTTTTCTCCTTCAGTGATTCTGCTTGTTTTCATCAAGTGTCTTCAATAATGCTCAGTCACTCAATCAATAACATTAACTTTAACACTCTTCAGTGTTTATTTAACACTCAAATTTTAACACATTAACACTCTTGAGTCTTTAACACTCTTGAGTTTTTCCTGTGTAGTAACATTCAAGAAACTGGATATTTCTTGGAATATTGTTCTTGGAATGTTAGAAATCAACATCACTATCATGTTGAATTTTTAATTGAAAATTACGTTTAAAGACCGTTTTAGGAACATTATACCTTTTAAAACACGTTCCTCTGATGTCAAGAAAACTGGACATTTTTCACGTTCCCAGAACCAACACTGAATATTTAGAGAACGTTCTTATAACAAAATTTCCACCAACTTCCACACTGCTTCAGTGTTACTTATTATATCATAAACTCATATAAACACTGAGTAGTGTTAATTTAACATTGGGGATTTTGCTGTGCTCAATATTCTCGATGAATCGAGACACTTTGATTGAGCAAGGAATTGAAGTGATCTTAAGAAAATGTACCTGAGAAAAGCAGAGACATGAGGGTGGCACGTCTGGCTGACATCCAGTGTGAGGTTCCTGGACTCATTTGTTATGTTTAGTTCTGGATAAATCATGAGGATAAAACGGTGCACACAAAACTGCAACTCTGCCTCTTCACTGACGTCTTGTACATTAATGATGAAATCACAACCATCTCCACTTTTAAACAGAAGACCAAGATCATCAGACAAACCCAGACTGTTATCCACAGAGAACTGACGATTGCTGGTTATGTTTTTACCTGCAAGAAAACATAATAAAATTTGATTGAAACAACAGAAATACAAGTGGACAACTACAAATATATCTAGTAGTTGAAATTATTACCAGCCTCACAGATCACTCCTGCATCTTCTTTATGTGTGCAGTCACTAACACCCCAGCCTTTGAAGCTGCATTCAGACAATGAGCTTTCTGAACCTTTACAGTTCATGTCATCCAGCCAGACTGGACCAGAGCCTGGAAAAATCAATAGAATTGTGGTTTAAAAAATTAGACAATTATTGTTATGGGCTAACAATAAATTGGACTGAGGATCACATACCTTCCCCATATTGCCCTCCAGACGAAACTGAGATTGCCCCAGGGAAACCCATCTGCCGACACACCACTTGTGCTTCGGCCACGTCCCATCCGTCATCACAAACTGTTCCCCACTGTCCATCATGATAGATCTCCACACGACCAGAAGAAGGAAGCTTCCCCACCAATCTCACTCTTCCCTCCTGTGTTGTCTGCTTTGGTCTGTAACCTTCACCCAGCACCAAAAGATTAAAAGGTTAATATATTTTACAAAAAAAACTGCTCAGAAAGTCAATCAAATTTGTTGTTCAACCTCAGTTAACTGTGCATTTGTTGTAACAGGACAGACATATTTGGTTGTAAAATTCCAATAGACCAATAAATGCTGTAGATTACATTTAACGTAAAAAATACATTGCAATATGTTTTTTTTAACTCATGAAAATCTATACAAATATGCAAACAATATATAACTATGAAAGAAAGGTTTACTAACCAAACGGCGTCCGACGTTGAGCTGAAACATGAAGAAACAGCAGAGGCAACAGAAGATACATGACTCTTCTCATGCTGGAAATATTGCAAAACAGCAGAGACAGGAACACAATTCTCATCTGAATGGGAAACAAAACGTCTTGCCTTTCCTTAAATAAGCCCCAAATCAGGTCAAATATTATGAAACTTGTATCAGACGCTGTGTAATCACTTTCGAGGGCTACCATAAGTTTCATTTCATGAAAAGAACACATTTAAGTTTCATTACTGCAAAACGTGAATTTAAACAAGAAATGTCTGTCAGCACAACACTATCTCACGACCAATTCGTGCGAATTCGACGCATGATTAAAAAGTTTACGATTTGTCTAAACCCACGTGATGGTTAGGTTTAGGGGCGGGGTAAGGGGTAGGTCATTCGTACGAATTCATACGAATTGGCCAATTCGTAAAATCTGTCCGATTTAGCAAAATTGTATTAATTCGTACGAGTGAGGTCGTATGAATTGTTACGAATTAGCCACTTTTTAATCATTCGTCGAATTCGTACGACTTGGTCGTGAGATCGGGTTGGTCAGCATAGTCTGGCCATGCAGTGCGAGTGAGACCAGTCCAACTGAATTCACACAATACAGAAAGGAAGTTAGAATTAAGTTATTTTAATTCGTTTGTCCCAGTCACAGCCGTCATCACTTATGCTCAGGGACTGCTTATGAGCACTGCTTGATTGTGATTTGAAACTTGATCAGCAAGTAAACTTAGGGTACTCTGAGGACCATGACAGAGTTCAAGGTGGCCAAAAAAGTACCATTGCTGTGTAGATAACTTCCAAATAGTAGTGTGTTTCTGATTCCAGATTACATGACAAAAGTTGTAGTTAAGTCCAAGTTCAAGTCAACTTTATTGTCAATCAAACTATGCAATACTCAGCAGACTGAAATTGTGCTTCTCCCATACTCCAATGTGCAATATTAAAACAAAATTGAACACCTACTAAACATACGGCTAGACATAGGACACAACTAAACAAGTTCAGATAGATATAACAGATAGGCAGATCCACATTGCACATGGCCTACCATTAGCATACAGTTTCCAGACTATCACAGAGTTTCAAAATATAGTCGGGTTAATTTCACTGTCGTGCAATATGACAAAGTGCAAGCAGCAGCATGAAGATACATAAATATTATATACTTTTTACATTTTTGTGCAAAGGGATATGAGGCTTGGAGCCAGAGGGGCTTAAAGGGTTAGTTCACCCAAAAATGAAAGTTAAGTCATTAATTACTCACCCCCATGCTGTTCCAACCCCGTAAGACCTTCGTTCGTCTTCGGAACACAAATAAAGATATTTTTGATTGAATCTGAGGGCTGGATCACTCTTCCATAGGCTTCCTAAGGGACTGGCTCTTGACGGCCCATAAAGTCATTAAAGAAAAGGTTTAAATATTTCATGTGCCTACAGCGGCTCAATTATAAGTTTATCAAGCGACGAGACTACTTTTTGTGCGAAAAAAACATAAATAACGACTTTATTCCACTATTCCATTACTTCCTTATGGGCGCATGCACGAGAACTGAGACGAGGACGTTCTCATTCGTCTACTTCTTGTTACCGGCTGCTCACTGCTTAGGAGTTTTACCGCCACCTACCGTATAAAATGATGATCCATATATAAGGCGCTCCGGATTATAAGGAACACTGTCGTTTTTTGAGAAGATTAAAGGCTTTTAAGTGCACCTTATAGTGCGGAAAATACGCTAATTGAAAAGCGTATGTACAGCGCGCATCTTCATCTGCTTGTAAATAGAAAGTTTTGCGCTTCCAGCTATATCAGCACATCATCTTATACGGTAGGGGGCGGTAAAACTCCTAAGCAGTGAGCAGTCGGTAACAAGAAGTAGACGAATGAGAACGTCCTCGTCTCAGTTCTCGTGCATGCGCCCATAAGGAAGTAATGGAATAGTGGAATAAAGTCGTTATTTATGTTTTTTTCGCACAAAAAGTAGTCTCGTCGCTTGATAAACTTATAATTGAGCCGCTGTAGGCACATGAAATATTTAAACCTTTTCTTTAATGACTTTATGGGCCGTCAAGAGCCAGTCCCTTAGGAAGCCTATGGAAGAGTGATCCAGCCCTCAGATTCAATCAAAAATATCTTTATTTGTGTTCCGAAGACGAACGAAGGTCTTACGGGGTTGGAACAGCATGGGGGTGAGTAATTAATGACTTAACTTTCATTTTTGGGTGAACTAACCCTTTAAGCCCCTCTGGCTCCAAGCCTCATATCCCTTTGCACAAAAATGTAAAAAGTATATAATATTTATGTATCTTCATGCTGCTGCTTGCACTTTGTCATATTGCACGACAGTGAAATTAACCCGACTATATTTTGAAACTCTGTGATAGTCTGGAAACTGTATGCTAATGGTAGGCCATGTGCAATGTGGATCTGCCTATCTGTTATATCTATCTGAACTTGTTTAGTTGTGTCCTATGTCTAGCCGTATGTTTAGTAGGTGTTCAATTTTGTTTTAATATTGCACATTGGAGTATGGGAGAAGCACAATTTCAGTCTGCTGAGTATTGCATAGTTTGATTGACAATAAAGTTGACTTGAACTTGGACTTAACTACAACTTTTGTCATGTAATCTGGAATCAGAAACACACTACTATTTGGAAGTTATCTACACAGCAATGGTACTTTTTTGGCCACCTTGAACTCTGTCATGGTCCTCAGAGTACCCTAAGTTTACTTGCTGATCAAGTTTCAAATCACAATCAAGCAGTGCTCATAAGCAGTCCCTGAGCATAAGTGATGACGGCTGTGACTGGGACAAACGAATTAAAATAACTTAATTCTAACTTCCTTTCTGTATTGTGTGAATTCAGTTGGACTGGTCTCACTCGCACTGCATGGCCAGACTATGCTGACCAACCCGATCTCACGACCAAGTCGTACGAATTCGACGAATGATTAAAAAGTGGCTAATTCGTAACAATTCATACGACCTCACTCGTACGAATTAATACAATTTTGCTAAATCGGACAGATTTTACGAATTGGCCAATTCGTATGAATTCGTACGAATGACCTACCCCTTACCCCGCCCCTAAACCTAACCATCACGTGGGTTTAGACAAATCGTAAACTTTTTAATCATGCGTCGAATTCGCACGAATTGGTCGTGAGATAGTGTTGTGCTGACAGACATTTCTTGTTTAAATTCACGTTTTGCAGTAATGAAACTTAAATGTGTTCTTTTCATGAAATGAAACTTATGGTAGCCCTCGAAAGTGATTACACAGCGTCTGATACAAGTTTCATAATATTTGACCTGATTTGGGGCTTATTTAAGGAAAGGCAAGACGTTTTGTTTCCCATTCAGATGAGAATTGTGTTCCTGTCTCTGCTGTTTTGCAATATTTCCAGCATGAGAAGAGTCATGTATCTTCTGTTGCCTCTGCTGTTTCTTCATGTTTCAGCTCAACGTCGGACGCCGTTTGGTTAGTAAACCTTTCTTTCATAGTTATATATTGTTTGCATATTTGTATAGATTTTCATGAGTTAAAAAAAACATATTGCAATGTATTTTTTACGTTAAATGTAATCTACAGCATTTATTGGTCTATTGGAATTTTACAACCAAATATGTCTGTCCTGTTACAACAAATGCACAGTTAACTGAGGTTGAACAACAAATTTGATTGACTTTCTGAGCAGTTTTTTTTGTAAAATATATTAACCTTTTAATCTTTTGGTGCTGGGTGAAGGTTACAGACCAAAGCAGACAACACAGGAGGGAAGAGTGAGATTGGTGGGGAAGCTTCCTTCTTCTGGTCGTGTGGAGATCTATCATGATGGACAGTGGGGAACAGTTTGTGATGACGGATGGGACGTGGCCGAAGCACAAGTGGTGTGTCGGCAGATGGGTTTCCCTGGGGCAATCTCAGTTTCGTCTGGAGGGCAATATGGGGAAGGTATGTGATCCTCAGTCCAATTTATTGTTAGCCCATAACAATAATTGTCTAATTTTTTAAACCACAATTCTATTGATTTTTCCAGGCTCTGGTCCAGTCTGGCTGGATGACATGAACTGTAAAGGTTCAGAAAGCTCATTGTCTGAATGCAGCTTCAAAGGCTGGGGTGTTAGTGACTGCACACATAAAGAAGATGCAGGAGTGATCTGTGAGGCTGGTAATAATTTCAACTACTAGATATATTTGTAGTTGTCCACTTGTATTTCTGTTGTTTCAATCAAATTTTATTATGTTTTCTTGCAGGTAAAAACATAACCAGCAATCGTCAGTTCTCTGTGGATAACAGTCTGGGTTTGTCTGATGATCTTGGTCTTCTGTTTAAAAGTGGAGATGGTTGTGATTTCATCATTAATGTACAAGACGTCAGTGAAGAGGCAGAGTTGCAGTTTTGTGTGCACCGTTTTATCCTCATGATTTATCCAGAACTAAACATAACAAATGAGTCCAGGAACCTCACACTGGATGTCAGCCAGACGTGCCACCCTCATGTCTCTGCTTTTCTCAGGTACATTTTCTTAAGATCACTTCAATTCCTTGCTCAATCAAAGTGTCTCGATTCATCGAGAATATTGAGCACAGCAAAATCCCCAATGTTAAATTAACACTACTCAGTGTTTATATGAGTTTATGATATAATAAGTAACACTGAAGCAGTGTGGAAGTTGGTGGAAATTTTGTTATAAGAACGTTCTCTAAATATTCAGTGTTGGTTCTGGGAACGTGAAAAATGTCCAGTTTTCTTGACGTTAGAGGAATGTGTTTTAAAAGGTATAATGTTCCTCAAACGTTCTTTAAACGTTATTTTCAATTAAAAATTCAACATGATAGTGATGTTGATTTCTAACATTCCAAGAACAATATTCCAAGAAATATCCAGTTTCTTGAATGTTACTACACAGGAAAAACTCAAGAGTGTTAAAGACTCAAGAGTGTTAATGTGTTAAAATTTGAGTGTTAAATAAACACTGAAGAGTGTTAAAGTTAATGTTATTGATTGAGTGACTGAGCATTATTGAAGACACTTGATGAAAACAAGCAGAATCACTGAAGGAGAAAACTCAACTTTTAGTCACCATTATGGAGATCAGTGTTTGTTTGAGTTGGGCAGTTGACCTTTTCAAGTTTATCTTTAGAGTTTGTTTGGCTGCTGTACATGAGTTATGACAGCCAGATGAACAAAGAGGAAAAGTGATCTGATGGTGTTGGTTTTGTTATAACGTAATCATTATTTCACAATCATATGACCTGAATCACTAAATTTAAGTAGTATTAATCTTTGTTTTGAATGTGTAATGGTCATTACAGAATCAAAGGGATTTAACAGTATAAAACCTAGTTTTTATCATTTCTTTAAAGTTGTTCTGATCAAAAGTCACTGAAAATTGATTTTCTTTGGGATACACAGATATCAATAATTAACCTGTGATTCTCAAAAATGATGACAATAATAAAGCATGTTGTAGTGTATTCTGGGTGCCACCAATCAAAACTCATTCATAGCTCCAATCATACATTGCGGTATGAATAAATTATGATCTAAATTGTCTTACGAATCTCATTTTCCTAATCAAATATTTTTGTCACCATTGTGGAGATTCATACACTGAATCTATATGTCTATGTGTGCCTGAAAGAAATATTTTTTTTTAATCAGAACAACTTTTAAGAAATCATTTAGATTATATTGAACCTGGAACTTATACGGTTAAATCACTTTGATTATGAACAATATATTAGGTATACCTAATATATATTAGATTAGGACTACTTGATTTCAGAGATTCATATTGTATGATTGTGAATAAATGATTATGTTATAACATAACCAACACCATCAGATCACCTTTTTTCTTTGTTCATCTGTCATAACTCATGTATGGCAGCCAAATAAAATCTAAAGTTAAACATGTAAAGGTCAACTGCCCAACTAAACCGAACACTGATCTCCATAATGGTGACTAAAATTTGAGTTTTCTTCTTCAGTGATTCTGCTTGTTCTCATCAGGTGTCTTCACTAATGCTCAATCATCACTCAATCAATAACTTAAATAGCACATTAACTTTAACACTCTTCAGTGTTTATTTAACACTCAAATTTTAACACTTTAACACTCTTGAGTCTTTAACACTCTTGAGTTTTTGCTGTGAAGTAACATTCAGGAAACTGGACATTTTTATGTTCTTGGAATGTTAGAAATCAACATTACTATCATATCGAATTTTTAATCGAAAATCACGTTTAATGAACGTTTGAGGAACATTATGCCTTTTAAAACAGGTCAAAATATGATTGTTAAAACCAACACCATTCGAGCACCTTTTCTCTTTGTTCATCTAGTTGTTATAACTCTGTAAGTTAAACATGTAAGGTTCAAGACCCCAACTAAATAAAACACTGATCACCATAATGGTGACTTTGCGATTTTCCTCCTTCAGTGATTCTGCTTGTTATCATCAGGTTTCTTCAATAATGCTCAAAATCATCACTAAATTAATCACTTAACTATCTCATTAACCTTAACACTGCTTCAGTGTTACTCTTAACTCTGAGTGTGGACTGAGCAGTGTTTATTTAACACTGGGGATTTTGCTGTTTGCATATCATAAATCTACTGAATATATTATGGATGAAAGATGCTTACAGTGTCTGAACTGTTTTTCTCAGGTATTTGTACACACGTCAGATTGATGTTTCCATCACATCGGCTCAATGTCTCCATCAGCTGTCATTTATCTTCGGGGTGAAGACTCTCATGGAGGATGTTGGCAGGGTCTTCACTTCACTCCTTCCAGAAGACAACACCTTCCGGACACAGGTATCAATGTACGAGTATGGCGTCCGCACAGGTGACCTTGTTCTGCAGGAGAATGTCCTTCAGTATCTTTCCTGGAACTGTGAGTTCCTCATAAACTCTCCGTTGTGGAGCACCATCTCCTTTCACATGATGGACGCTCTGCTGCAGCGCTCAGACCTGGTTGTGAAGGATGAAGCTTTACTTCTTGAAGCTCTGGAGAGATGGATCCAAGATAAAAGTGATGAGATTAGTTCAGAGCAACAGGCCAGCCTCCTGAATCACATCCGCTTCCTCTTGATCCCAGTGGATAAACTGTATGAAATGCAGTTTTCCTCAAGTGTTCTCCATCAGAATCATGAGAAACTGTACCTAACTGGTCTGCTCAGAGGTTTTCAGTTCAATGCTCTGCCTTTCTCTACGATCAGGAATAAAATGGATAACATGAGTAATCATTATCTACCCAGAATCTACACTGCTAAAGAGTGGAGTGTATTTATCAATGACACAACCCCAAAAATTAATTACCAGCCCTACAACGAGTATGGATATGACAGGTATGGCAACCAGATCAGAAACCAAGTTCCTATCTTCTCCACTCGTGCACACCCTAGTGCTCTTTACAAAGATCAGACGGTCCAGTGGCAAGCCCAGGTTTTTCGTAATGCCCGGGACTGCTCTAACTATGGTGTGTCATGTACATCTTTTCCTGTCGCAAGGTTCCTCGCAAGTGGTAATCAGAACCGGTACGCCAACACCATTCGCTTCAACAACAGGTTGATTCTCACCTGTAAAAATCAAAACAATGTCTTTCATGTTCAAGAATTTAAAAACAGCATGGCAGTGATTCCAAACAACAGCACTATGGGCCTGCCTAACCCCTGTCCTGATGAATACAGTTTTAGATTTGCAGTGCGTCCAGAGTATATCTAGTATATAGTGACCTACATGCATTTCAGTTCATTCGAATCTAGTTTAACTGAATCTATGAAATTCGATCAAGTCTCTTTTTATAATTCATGGGAATCATTCTACAAATGTTTGTTAATTTTACTCTTGACTTATTTTAGCAATAAAAATGAACTTCCAAAATAAAAATATGTAACGAACATCATCTTTGTCAGTGTCGTTCCTCTTTAATGTCAATGTAACATTAAGAACTTGGACTTCAACGTTGAACAGAAGTTGCAATTTGGTTGGAATAAATTACCAGAGATCTTTCAATATCATGGTCAGACAAATCTGATCTGATCAAGATCCACTCTCAGCCAGGCCCAAAGTATTTATTTTAAAGCTTTTAATGATGCATGCAATGGATTATCAAAATAAACTGTCAATGTAAAACTCTCAAAGTACACTCATTCCTGCAGCACTATGTTGGTCATCTTTCTTGTGGATACAAAGGAGAAAGGATAACCATTCACTGATTTCAAATTAACCACAAACAACCACCTTTGCTTTGAAAAGGCTTTAAGATAAAATATTTCTTCGATAGCATTGCAATTGTGACAATAAAAAAAATTGAATATCAGATTATCACGTCATGCACCACTCTGATGAGCAGCCCACCACTATAATTCGAGTGCCCTGAAATTCTTCAAACAGAGTATGTTAAATTCTTTCCATAAAATGTTCATCTATGGAAATTTATCAGTGATTAATTAGTGCAAATAACGCAAAACTACCCAGCAAGATTAAAAGAAGCTTCTGCTAAATTAACTGATGGTGAGGTAATTCAATGTCCACTGGAGTTTTGCTCCAGTGTTCAAGAATTGGAAAAGGTGCGCTGTTTTTATGTTTTTTTCGTCTTAGCTATATTTAACTCAACTTTATATTTGAACTGTTCATTGATAGTGTTCTAACTAGAATCTTTAAAGATAACCCTTGGATTTTTGAAAATGACAGTTCATATAGTGTGGAATATAACTCTATGGGAATGAAAACATCCTGCAAAGATTTATATCTGAAAGTGCACCGTATATAAAGTTATTGTCTTTCAAAAGTGAGAGTCGACTCTGAGTCTATGAAATGAATTGTTTTTGAAACGAGTCATTAGCTGTTACATCGTGACGTAGATAAGAAAAATTAGCTCATTGGCCGCTCCCAACAACTGTGCGCAGACGGGAGTGTAAACTTTTATATGATTCAAAAAGTTCAGCTGAATGTTGAGAAGACGCTGTGTTCTACATTGTAAAGTCAGTTCAGCCACTTGTTTTTATTGCCCAGGGACGAGCATGTGAAGAATCAGTGGTCAGAGTTCATATTTGCAACGATACCACAACAGTATAGCCCGAACCTTGTGTTCTCATCATTTTAATGACGAATCATTCAAAAACATAAATGAATTCAAATGTGGATTCGCAAGCCGGTTGTTCCCGAAGGAGGGCTCAGTATCCAGAGTATATGGATCAGGTTCGTCCTCCTTCGAATCACAATCTGTAAGTATTATTACTAATGTTTGCTGTTATGTTTTCTGTAGCATGCACAATATAATTATATTGTGTTGTGTACACTCCGCGCAGCTTCTAAACGGGGTAAAGTTAGTTTAGTTTTTGATATTCCCCAGACATTCACTGAAAAATGGCAATTACCTCCTAAACGAATGACTTCGCTCTATATAATAAGCACTGCCCCTCAAAAGCCGCCGCAATGTGAGTTTCGCCGGGAAAGCTTGCTCTTGACGGAGACGCGAGTAAGGGACCGTGTGAAAAGTGCACTTTTTCTGACACGTTTGTTCAAACAATATATACAATTTTCAACACTTGACAAGCTATAATCCTGGTTATGGGCGTTCCGTTGCCGACAGTCTCTGCCTACGGTTTACCAATAACAACTGATTGGGTCATTTTCACCAATCGCCATAGATTCGCGTCACTCAAAGGAGGTGTTTGGGAAAATGAATCCTCGAACGAATCATTTGGGAGTCGTTGAGCAAATCAGTTAAAAATAAATGCATATTATAAGACAAATAAAGTGTTTTTTATGCTTGCATGCAGGTTAAACTGTTTTTGGGAAATCCCAAAACAAAAATAGGAACATTTCAAATGCTATGATAGGGGCTCTTTAAAAATGTATTTATAAAATAAATGGGGCACACTTTTTACCCACTGTGATCCCATTATAAACCATAATGGAGCCATTTGTAGGTTCAGTCAGTGTGATCACCCATATGTTGGGTTTTGTGTGTAGCCCAGCTCAGCCCCATTATTAGCACCCATTTGCGACCCAAGTGAGCCCATTTAATGAACATCTAAATGGACAAGAGAACTTTTGTTATAAGAACGTTCTCTAAATATTCAGAGTTGGTTCTGGGAACGTGAAAAATATTTTCTCAAATTTTAGTCACCATTATGGAGATCAGTGTTAGGTTTAATTGGGTAATTGACCTTTACATGTTTAACTAAAGCAAACACTGATCTCCATAATGGTAACTAAAATTAGAGTTTTCTTCTTCAGTGATTCTGCTTGTTATTATCAGGTTTCTTCAACAATGCTCAATCATCACTCGATCAATAACTTAATTAGCACATTAACTTTAACATTCTTGAGGGTTTAACAAAGTTTAACACTTTAACACTCTTGAGTCTTTGCTGTGTAGTAACATTCAGGAAACTGGACATTTTTATGTTCTTGGAATGTTAGAAATCAACATCACTATCATGTTGAATTTTTAATTGAAAATAACGTTTAAAGAACGTTTGAGGAACATTATACCTTTTAAAACACATTCCTCTAACGTCAAGAAAACTGGACATTTTTCACGTTCCCAGAACCAACACTGAATATTTAGAAAACGTTTTTATAACAAAATTATGTTAGCTGGGTTAGAGCCACAATGGACCCATCATGTGCCCATATGGGATAACATACATGGGCATATACATTTGTCCATCAGCTCCACATGGGACCCATTTGTGTTGCCCAAGCAGGGCCCAAGTGACAGCCCATCAAAAACCCACATGGAAATGTTGACTGGGACAGCATTTTGACATTAAACAAAATCCAGGTGCACTAATAGCTTTCTTAAAAACCTTCAATCTGTTGTTTTCAGGAAGAAAAAAAACAGCAACAACAAATAAATAGCTGTGGCGTATTAATGAAAAAGAACATTCATAATTAAATTGTGATGGATTAGTTTGTTTTTTAAAGTAGCTGAAATTATTAACATATTGATCAATAAAGTAAAAAAAAAAAAACAGTGCACCATTAAAAAAAACCCATTCACAATACCACATGGCTACCACCAATAATGTGTGTGGAGTAAACTGTTTTATACATACACTATAGTCTATCACGTCATTCAGTTACATTCATTACACTGTAAGTACAGTACTGGCGTGAAACCACTATAGGTCGTTGCTGAAAATGGTAGTGAAAAAAACCCCAAAGAAAGAAAAAACTCTTGATGAAGGCTCAGAAAGGTCTCTCAAAACAATTAAAGAGTCAACATGTCCTAATTTCTTCAGTCTCCTCTATAACCACAACCACATTTTAATGTCTGCCAATAGTTAGTTGGCATTATTCGAACGCCACTGAACTATTTCAACCAATCTAGATGTCCATCATCTAGACAAAAGGTATTTACCAGTACTTGGCACGTATTTACTTCCAGATAATCCCTTTCACACTAAATGAATTCGAGTCCTTCATACTTCACATCTCCAATCTTAGTTTCAGGAAGCAAGATTCGGCCATCCAAGGTGAATGCCACAATGTAAGAGGCAATTTTCCCAGCATCCTCCTCAGACTTCAAGGCAACAATAATCTGGTCGTCTGTGTTGGGGACAAACTTGAAGGACGAAAAGCCGTGTGTAGGGTTCAGGGGGCCAACGTTTCTCACTTTAATGTCCTGGAAGTCTGGGGAGCAGCTGAGCATTAGGTTGGTGCCGCGACGCTCATCTGCCGTCTCGTCGTAGCGCTCGCTGCTGGCACGCCTCGGCAAGAAGAACCAGCGCTGCAATGTGTCGCTCCAGGCTGCAGACTCGTGTATGAGGTACCCTGAGATGACCACAGAGAGGAAATGAGCAAGGACTGGCATTGAAGCATTTAATCTAAGAGACTACTGTAAGTACTTGGGAATCTTTTACCCTAAAATTATTAATTTTTCACATTTTCCATAAGGAAAATTAAGCCACAACAAGTACATACAGCACATTTCACAATATAGATTGCATCAAAGCAGCTTCACAATATCAATCAAAACATAATAACAATGTTCATTTCTTAATGGAAAAACATCTACGTTTGGTAGAGCTGATCAAGAGTATTACTGATTGGTTAATTAATTTGAACATCCCCACTCAATTGACAATAAGCATGGATGGAGACGTTCCCAGAGGACCTTAGTTTACAATCTTTACTTATATGGTGCTTTATACAGTACACATTGCTTTAAAGAAGCTTTCAAAAGTGATAAATTGTCCACTCTGACACAAAAATCGCGCTGTGCGGACATTACTGATGGAAAAAATGACGTCTCACAGACTGAGCCAGAGTGGAAAGTGAACAGGGAAGTGGCTTTTTGCCAATTTGGCTAAATATCATTTATTTAACAACATTCCTAATTTAATAAATGTTTTACACTGGACTACACTCATTATTGATGAATTTTTAAAATACCAAGCATAACAATATTGACTGCTCGCTACAAACACACACTGCATGTGAGTGAATGTCTACCGCTCACCGGGCGGACTGATGCCAGCAGCTCTGCGGAGAGAGTTGTACTTAGGAACCCAGTTGTGGTGCTGTACATCTCCGTGGATTCCCACCACTTTGACCCACTCGGGATTTTCATTCAGCACTTCTCCATCGGTGGTGGTCCACTCCTTCCCCAAACCTCCCACATACAGATGCTCGTCCTTTACTGCAAGCCACTCTGCCTTAAACCCTGTGTAAGAGAACGCCAAAGAAGAAACCACAACTGAAATCAGATATCATGTAAATTGATTGCTTTGAATTTGATTAATTATTTTACATATACACTCACCTAAAGGATTATTAGGAACACCTGTTCAATTTCTCATTAATGCAATTATCTAATCAACCAATCACATGGCAGTTGCTTCAATGCATTTAGGGGTGTGGTCCTGGTCGAGACAATCTCCTGAACTCCAAACTGAATGTCAGAATGGGAAAGAAAGGTGATTTAAGCAATTTTGAGCATGGCATGGTTGTTGGTGTCTGAGTATTTCACAATCTGCTCAGTTACTGGGATTTTCACGCACAACCATTTCTAGGGTTTACAAAAAATGGTGTGAAAAGGGAAAAACATCCAGTATGTGGCAGTCCTGTGGGTGAAAATGCCTTGTTGATACTAGAGGTCAGAGGAGAATGGGCCGACTGATTCAAGCTGATAGAAGAGCAACTTTGACTGAAATAACCACTCGTTACAACCGAGGTATGCAGCAAAGCACTTGTGAAGCCACAACACACACAACATTGAGGCGGATGGGCTACAACAGCAGAAGACCCCACCGGGTACCACTCATCTCCACTAAAAAATAGGAATAAGAGGCTACAATTTGCAAGATCTCACCAAAATTGGACGGTTGAAGACTGGAAAAATGTTGCCTGGTCTGATGAGTCTCGATTTCAGATGGTAGAGTCAGAATTTGTCGTAAACAGAATGAGAACATGGATCATCATGCCTTGTTCCCACTGTGCAGGCTGGTGGTGGTGGTGTAATGGTGTGGGGGATGTTTTCTTGGCACATTTTAGGCCCCTTAGTGCCAATTGGGTATCGTTTAAATGCCCCGGCCTACCTGAGCATTGTTTCTGACCATGTCCATCCCTTTATGGCCACCATGTCCCCATCCTCAGATGGCTACTTCCAGCAGGATAATGCACCATGTCACAAAGCTCGAATCATTTCAAATTGGTTTCTTGAACATGACAATGAGTTGACTGAACTAAAATGGCCCCCACAGTCACCAGATCTCAACCCAATAGAGCATCTTTGGGATGTGGTGGAACGGGAGCTTCGTGCCCTGGATGTGCATCCCACAAATCTCCATCAACTGCAAGATGCTATCCTATCAATATGGGCCAACATTTCTAAAGAATGCTTTCAGCACCTTGTTGAATCAATGCCACAGAATGAGAACATGGATCTCAGATGGCAGTTCTGAAGGTGAAAGGGGGTCAAACAGGTGTTCCTAATAATCCTTTAGGCGAGTGTATTTCAGTAGTTTCTGACCATTACACTAAAGGAGTGGTAAATTTAAAGGTGGTAAATTAAAATGCCCCGATTATGCTTTTTTTGGAATGTACCTTTCATGTGGTGTGTGTAATTTAATTATTTGTGTATGTCAAAGGTCTGCAAAGTTTCAAAGATCAAAGTGCACAATAAAATAAGTTAATGTATCATTCACAAGACAGTACTGATTCTGAACTGCCTGAAAGGAGTCACCAGTGATTATATTCTTCACTGGCTGGCCACAGACAAGGTCTACTTTGACCTACCCTTTAACACTGTAGTTGTAGCTAAGGCTGGAAGAGTTTGGTTTATGCTGTTGACATGTCAAGAACATGCTGTTTTCTGCACTGCGAAAGTAAACCCACTTTGATGCACTTCCAAATGAAAAGGAACTTTGTTACTGTTCGGATCACTGTGTGTGCGATTGCTGAGGAAATTGAGATATGGTAATGGCTGTTTGGTTGTTGACATGCGCTGTAAATGGTTGACCAATTACAATAAACTGGACTGCTTAAACAATTAGAACAGAGTAGACCAAATTATTGAGTCATCGGACCAATCAGAGCAGAGTCATCTGAGCAATCAGAGCAGAGTAAACCAATCACTAGCTACGTTTACATGGACACAATCGGAATGAAATCAATACGATTGAAGAATCCAATCAAGGTGTTTACAATGTAGGTGTTTAGTTTAGGTTGATGTGCACGTTTATATGTCACAAGATTCAAATCGGAATTGATTCTTTGACATGCGCACACTGCACGAATATGCCACTGTTCACGCATAAGCATAACTATTTTCCCCTATTGGTTCGGTATTTGTTTTAAACAACAGAATTAATTTTTTATCCGTCTCTGGTCATGATTTGGAGACGATGAGCATGAAGTGTTTTGCCGTGCGGATTGTATTTATAACGCAGTAAAACCCCGCGCCCAAAAGTCGTGTGTGGATGAGAATGTAAAACAAGCACTGGTGGGACGTTGTCCTGCTTCACTTCACAGACATGGAGTGAAATGGGAATTTTTTAATAACGGAACAGTCATTTATATGACACTTTATTCAACAGGAAGAACAGCACGTCATTACGCTATTTCAACGTCATTCCACATGCGCAGTCCTTTTAGTTTCGGTTTTCAATCCAATCAGGTGTTTACATGTTCTCTCGCTCGGATTACAAAAGGAGTAAACCACTTCTTTCAATCCCATCGAAATTCTAGTCGGATCGAGCTCAATCGGATCGATTAAGGTGTTTACGTGAAGGTTTTTTAGTCCGATTGAGCCGTCAATCCGATTACAAGGGTCCATGTAAACGCAGCTAGTGAGTCATCTGACCAATCAGATCAGAGTAGACCAATCATTGAGTCATCTGACCAATCAGAGCAGAGTACACCAATCGTTGAGTCATCTGATCAATCAGAGAAGAGTACATCACAGTCCTGCCCACAGCCGGTGCTGGAAGTAAAAATTCAATACAATTTCTCCATTGACATTTGAGATATAAGCCATGAAAACGTGACCATACATGGTAGACTTAAAACCAGCTACGGCTGTACTAAGCGATTGTATATGCTCATGTAGATGCCAAAAGTTCATGGGGCACTAACCTTGTTTTATGATAAATGCCTTTTATTCTCAATGTATTGGATAAGTACCTCATTACCCACAATCCTGAATAATCCCACAATCCCACAGTGATGCATCTGATTGGTGGAAGTCGTGTCACATGTCTGAAACCCCGCAAAGGTACGTGACAGACTGAAGATCGTGTAATGACGTAGGGCTAAGTTCATTGGTCGCACCTCTGAGATGCCCCCCGCGCCATTGGATGTGCAGTTGCCGCAGCACAGCCTATTAGCGAGCTAGAAACTCAATGTTTTAGCATGTGCAGCTGCAAATGTGTTTGCTTCAGTAAATCGAGGTAAAGGAGTTTCCCTGCAAATTCACTATATAAAATTCACTGGAGGAAAAAGTTCATGTAGCCGTTGTCAGATTTGGAAGTCACTCAAAAGGCTCTTTTACGGTAGCTTCAGTCGACTTCAGTGAGGCGCGGTGGTTTATGGGATGAGTAGTTCCTTTGCTCGGAAATGAAAATATGTACACAGTCTTGTACCCCTGACTTTTTTGGGGATTTTCTCTTCATTTTTTCACTCGAAATGATATGTTGTATGCTTATGAGTTCAGCTGTAGCTGGTTTACCTCAGACATGCTCTAATACTTTTTAGATATGGACTTTACAAAATTCAATGGGAGAAATGAATGGGAAATTTACTTTCGGCACCAACGCTCTCTCGGGCTGTGGGCGGGACTGTGATTCTCTATTGCAGTGTTTCCCAACCCTGTTCTTGGGGGCACACCAACACTGCGCATCTTTGTCTCCCTTATTATCAAACACACCTGATTCAACTCATCAGCTCATAATCAGATGGGTTAATGAGCTGATGAGTTGAATCAGGTGTGTTTGATAATAAGGGAGACAAAGAGTACGCGCAGTGTTGGTGTGCCGCCAGGAACAGGGTTGGGAAACACTGCTCTACTGAGTCATCTGCCCAACCAGAGCAGAGTATACCAATCATTGAGTCATCTGACCAATCAGAGCAGAGTAGACCAATCATTGAGTCATCTGACCAATCAGAGCAGAGTAGACCAATCATTGAGTCATCTGACCAATCAGAGCAGAGTAAACCAATCATTGAGTTATCTGACCAATCAGAGCAGAGTACACCAATCACATTAGGCTCGGTCATTTGACCAATCAGACCTTGAAGGCATGTAAACCTATTGTAGGAGACTCCAAAATAAAATTTGGAACCTTTAAAATAGCATAACAGGGGCACTTTAATTAATTTCCTCAAAATTTGATTCAAACAAAGACAGCAATGCATGTTTGTTCGGGGGCAGATTAAAAGCATCCATTCTCAATGCTCTCAAGTCTGTGGACACTCTGGATGGATCTGAGAGGTCCCAGTAACAGCACCATTTTATTTGGAAAAAAAAGGTACTATAGAAGTACTAACCTTTTGAAACATAGCCATCCCCATCTGGAAGTATAACCCAGGGCACCGCCTTAAGTCCTTCAATGTTATATACTACACCCGTACGATCATCCACGCTGTACAGTTTGCCATTAAACACCACTAATTCGGAGAGCTCCATGCCCCGACCCTTCTCTGCCAGGTGGCTTTCCAAGACCACCCTTTCCTGATCCCATTCGACAGCCACCGTATCTCCACTCTCCGACACCAGGAGGTGACCCTTTAGCATGTAGCTAAACCAGGTCAGCTTCTTGTCACTGAGCGAGTTTGTGTCCAGGTCGGCAATGACCCCTATCCGGTAGCGCGTGCCCTGGGCTGTGCGCTCTGGTGGACTGAGGGGGTACGTGTCATTGTAGCGATCCTCTGCTCTCACCTCATGATGGTTTAACTTTGAGCCATATCTAGGATGGGGGTGAAAGGGCAAAAGCTGCATGTAGATGAGGAGGACGAGGGTTAGCGCTGATGCTACCACCACAATGGCTCTCCATTTGATGCGGAAGCGGGGGTCTGTGGTGTTGGTCATGGAAGCCAGCATCGGGAGCCCTCCAACAGAGATGCGCAGAGAGTTCATAGACTCATTATGGTTAAGAAGTGCATAGCCTGGAGAAACTGGCATTAGGGAGGGACGGCAGCCACACCTACACAGGAAAACAGAGTAAAGTTCGGGTCAATATGACGGGTCAATTCGGGTGTCAGATTACGCGGTTTTGACTCCTAAAATCTTGTCGTGTCGTGGACAAGACACATGTCAGATTACACGTTGCTTCCTGGGGTCTTTAACGGCGCACGTGATGTCACCGAGAAGGCGAAACTAGTAGCGAGTGACTTACGGAAACGAACGTAAAAAATCATTGGATGAGGCGGTGAGTGTTGTATTGGCTGTCCAGTGTTCAGAAAAAAAGTTAAAAAAGAACAAAAACCCGACAATGGACACGTTCCTGGATTGCTCGAAGGGGACAGTATGAGCTGTTAATCCTCCAAAGAGAACTTGAGGTAAAATGTAGTTTTCTTATATATTTTTACTTTTAGTTTTAACGTTAGCACCATCGTCTCTCTTTCGTTTCGCCATTTTTGAAAGTTGTGTACGGAAAAGCTTCTGTGCTCCTATTGGTCAACCTCATACATGTGACAGAACTGTCGTAGGCGACCGTAAAAAAAATTAAACATGCTAGTCTTTTTGTCGTGATGTCGTGAAGCATCACAGACGCGACGCACGTTGTCGCCCACTATGACACACTATACGAGATAATACAATCGAATCTTGCGTCCCAATGCCCGTTGTCGTTTACGAATCCCCACAACACCCTACGTCAAACGGATCGTGCCAAAATCATCTGACCAATCAGAGCAGAGTACACCAATCATTGAGTCATCTGACTAATCAGAGCAGAGTATACCAATCATTGAGTCATCTGACCAATCAGATCAGAGTAGACCAATCATTGAGTCATCAGGGTTAAGCTACGTTTATGGTGGACCAAGCGATCAGTCAAGATGTACATGTACCATTATTGCACGGCTCTGTGGAATACTTGATTCTGATTGGTCAATCGCTCCATCCAGCGGTATGTTATTTCCTGGTAAAAACTGATAACACAGGCTCATCCGGGGTACTGAAATCGGTGCTATACGTTTGGAAGAAACATTTTTTCCTCGTGGGAGTTTTGAGTTTGGTGAGCTAATAAAACATTAAAACTCAAATCAATATTTTGTGTACAGTTAATTAATTATGTCATCCAGTTATCGCAGACTCAATCTTTTTCATACAAATGCAGCCGCTGCCATTTTGTGACGATTGTTTTGTACACTGTAATGGATTATACGATAACAAACAGGTATGATGGTAAAACCGTTTAATCTCAACCGTTTATCTCTTATCTCCATAATTATTTGTGACGAAATGCTGTGTTATAAGTGCTATGACTGTATACCGTATCCCTTAAATGTCCGCTTGCTGCTTTCTCCACAGAGGCTTTGTGTTTAAAGAGCAAATAAAAAAAAAACTCAACTCAAAGTCAATATTTGATGGCTAATTAATTACTATGTGGCAATTAGCCGTGTAATAACCGGGATAATGTACATCCAGTCAATTGTTATCACAGAATAAACCCCTTCAGGCTGGTGCAAGATCTCCCTATTGGGGTTTATTATGTGATAACAAAAGCTGAAAGTACATTACAAGCATTTCAAATGTGTTTCCTGCGACCACTAGCGTTTAAATTTTGTAGAGACCCTCGCCGCTTTTTCCATCACGTTACTGAATAATACAACTAAATAAACAAGAAACTGGTGTTTAGTGTTAGTTTTTAATCCTCTTACCCCTCCTCTGTGACAAACCTGTTTAGCAACCCTGCTTCTTCTCAATTGCTACCTTTAACTGTCAGTCTTAGCCACTTTATTCTTTGACACAACAGAAGTAAAGGTTGGCTATTTCAATCTCTCCCGCAATTACATTAAAGTTTCTAAACAACAAATATAATCCGGTAGATTCTCAAAAAGCTATTTTTTCTAAGCTTAAGGGTTTAAAAACAGACGATTGCATCAATAACAAAAAATACAAGCAAGTTATAAAACAGTCCTACCTAAGACACAACCATTTTTGGGACCCAAAGCAGCAGACACTCACCAGCTTGTCAAACTCTGACAGGATCCACTGAGGCCACAGAAACACTTTGCTTAGGAAATGAGCAATGTTGACGTGGAGGTAAGGAGTGGCTTGGCGAACGGACGGTAGGCAAACAGGATGAAAACAGGTGCAGCGGGATACACCACAGCTCTGATGTGAAACCAGTGAGGCAGTTTAAATAAAGTTTGCCACAATTCTCACTTTGAAATAATTGTTAGCAGCAGCCGTGGTCTTATTTATAATTATAAGTTTGTAACGTGCATCACCCCAGTAATACAGACCACAAAGGACCATACCTGAGGAATCTAGTCTGTTAACAAGTTGTTTATCTGAAATGTTAATATTTAACAACTGAAAGTCTAAAAAAAACCTACTTCTCTTAATATTTATATATAAATATTATATAATTTTTTTTTTAATTACAATTATTGCACAATTGTTCAAATGAAGTGTCCCTTCATATACTAAATAATTTCATTAAAAAAATAAACTTTGTGGGTAGCTATAGTTAAAATTACAGAGATTATTAATGTAATCAATTCTCGTTCAATACTGGGCAAGTTCAAAACACTCTTTGCTTTTCTAAACCTTTGGCAATGACCGCATTTTGCATATCGCATCACAAAGATAAGGGTTCAACAAAACTGCAAAATATTGATTTGTATTGCATTTAGTTTCCCATTATTTGATGACTGACCGTGACTCTCTTGTTGGTCTTTGTCCACAAATAGCAATCGATTTAATTAAAGATCAAATGTAACTCGGCCAATGAACTCTGCATCATATGGCATGTGTTCAATTTATTTCTCACACATTGTGTGTTCTTAATGTTTTAAATACATTGTTTTACGTGTATGTTTTATGTGTTATGGTTGTGTGCCAAAATTGAAAATAAGATGTGTAGATGTATGTAATGGAGAGTTCAGACATTCAGCAACATATAATTTTTAATTTAATTATTTGTTTTGATTCTGTCCAACTAAGACAGTTCTTACCCTTAATATTCAGCAGTAACGTCGTATAAAACCACAAATAAATGCAGTTTTATCAGTTTAAGAATGAAAGCTTGTCAAGGACTAGGATTTGTACCGTGTGCGTGAGCTATAATTATGTATTTTAACAAAACAAAATTACAAACAAGTAGCTATTTATAGATTTAATAATACAACCAAGTAGTTAAAATTCAACAGAGCAGTTGAACTGGCAAAATCTTTAATCACGTGATGTAAACAACTGCTCGACCAATCAGAGGTCCTGCTTATCTGCCTGAATCAATCTGACATTTATTAAACAAAGATAAAACACATTATTATTATTATACAATTAAATTTACTCACCTGTTCGGTCAAATATCTGTTCTACAAGTAGTTACAAAACATTTAACAAGAGCTATCCCAACATTTACAGCTATCTCACATGTTCATATGGGAAAACATTGCCTTTAAAGAATTGGCTTTCAAACGACATTTACAGTTAAGGTATTTCTCTATTTTAATTCATTTGCATTTTAACTCACAAAGTCAATGTTTGTTTGGCCCACAATACAGTGCAATGTCTAGATTTAAACCGAGCTTCTCCATGAACACAGTCGTGTTGTCTTACTCTAAAGCTGAACGTGTTTACTTACTCTAGAGTGGAAGATAAGGCTCGAAATGACCCAGTAAACGGACTTGATGATCAGTTTAAATCGCGACTCGTGAACTCTCGTTCCTCACGGGTCCATTCAGCAGTGCGCGCGACCCGTGCACTTCCGCATTCGGGGGCGCGCTCGCCTCGAACCAGCTCTTTCCGCTCATACTTGCGTACATTTTACGCATAAATGCTTGAAAGAGAACGAGACATTTGAATTTTTAGCAATTCTTTCAGTTTAAACCACACGTTGAATTATGTAAACAGTAAAATAAGGTGCCAGGAGTGTAATAAAAAGTACGCCCTAATTACAAACTGTGTAGCCTATGGCTTTCTTTATTCAGCGCAATCATAAACTCTAATATGATTGATTTACAATAAACGACTACAGTATTATTTACCTGAATGTATTTTCATGAATTTTGTGGAAATTCATTCATTAATGCAACTTAAGGCATCTACTTGATTAACATGGATATCGAATAGAGTAGTTTGTTTGAGATTGAGACCTCTCTGATAAATGCATATTTAATATTTAAATATTTAGATTTTAGTTGTGAAACTTTAGTCTTAAAGGAGTAGTTTACTTTTATAAAAACAAAAAACTTTTGCTGATAATTTACTCACCCCCATGTTATCCAAGATGTCTTTCTTTCTTCGGTCGAAAAGAAATTAAGGTTTTTGATGAAAACATTCCAGGATTTTCTCCATATAATGGACTTCAATGGGAACCAAACGGTTCAAGGTCTAAAAGAGAGTTTCAGTGCAGCTTCAAAGGGCTTTAAACAATTCCAGACGATGAATAAGGGTCTTATCGAGCGAAACGATCGCTCATTTAATAAATAAATAACAAAGTTTAAGTTTTATAAGCTCAAACGTGAAAAGTCAAGTCACAGAATTGAGCAAGGCGAGCATTTGAGCTTATAAAACTTAAACTTTTTTATTTATTTATTAAATGAGCGAATCGTTCTGCTTGATAAGACCCTTATTAATCGTCTGGAATCGTTTAAAGCCATTTGAACAGTTTGCACTGAAATTGTCTTTTGGAGCTTGAACCGTTTGGTTCCCATTGAAGTCCATTATGTGGAATGTTTTCATCAAAAACCTTAATTTCTTTTCAACTGAAGAAAGAAAGACATGGACATCTTGGATGACATGGGGGAGAGTAAATTATCAGCAAAAGTTTTTTGTTTTTTTTTAAAGTGAACTTCTCCTTTAACATAACAAAAAAGTGAATGCTCATTCATTTTACAGACATGGAATACATTGTAGGGTAATATGAGGGAAAATGCCCCAATAATTAACATATTTAGATATACATTAAACATGGGGAGGGGCATCAGACTCCAATGTTGAAAGACAAAATAAAACTAATTAAAATTCATACACAGTTGGTGCACAGTGTATAAGTGCTTCATTTGGGACACAACTCAAGTCTGATATTTGTTAACAGAAAGAATCAACTGTTTATTGTGCAGCATTTCCTTACAAAAAAAGAGAGAGAATGTGGCAATAACTGCTGTTACAAAAACAGTTGCAAAGGAAGTCAACAGGAAGACAAAATTATGTGCTATGACAGAACTGTGAAAATAAAAATAAAGGAAATATCACTACCTTAAGCAAAACACAGACAGATTGAAAAAAGTGGTCAACTTAGATCAATTCTAGTTTTTCTTTGTTAATTTTAGGAAAATGAAGAGAACCGTAAAAACAAAATCATTCTAAAACAGTCAACAGATTTCAATTCCTAGCTATTAATTTCAAAACAAGGCACAATTTCAATAGGAAGAGGTAGAAATCTTGCAGTGAATTTGGCCTGACATTAAGAGCACATTTTGAAGGCAAACTGCTAGAAGTCATCAACAATATTACATCTTACGATTGTTTAACACTTCAAAACTCAGGTGCTTACAGTTTACAAAAACAAGGCTTATCCACACAAAGCCTATAGTCTGTCACAAATAAAAAAATTAAAGCACGCGTCGTTTACAGTAGTTTATCACTTCCTACCTCACAACATCAATCTAACTATTCTATTCCAGCCTCGATGAGCCTGACAGCCTCAACATCCTCAGTTAATGAAGCCATTTGGCAATAGATTTAGTGCATACCTTTCAACAAATGTGATGTATGGTGTATGGCAACGCTGTTTTTAAGGAATTACTTCATTGTGGTAATGCATTTTGGCACAGAGTCTGTTCACTTTCAGTTGTTTAAATACGGTATGGAAACAAACACACCTTTAAAGAGTAGTTCACTTTTAAAAAAACTTTTGCTGATAATTTACTCACCCCCATGTCATCCAAGATGTCCATGTCTTTCTTTCTTCAGTCGAAAAGAAATTAAGGTTTTTGATGAAAACATTCCACATAATGGACTTCAATGGGAACCAAACGGTTCAAGCTCCAAAAGACAATTTCAGTGCAAACTGTTCAAATGGCTTTAAACGATTCCAGACGATGAATAAGGGTCTTATCAAGCAGAACGATTCGCTCATTTAATAAATAAATAAAAAAGTTTACGTTTTATAAGCTCAAATGCTCGCCTTGCTCAATTCTGTGACTTGACTTTTCACGTTTGAGCTTATAAAACTTAAACTTTGTTATTTATTTATTAAATGAGTGATCGTTTCGCTCGATAAGACCCTTATTCATCGTCTGGAATCGTTTAAAGCCCTTTGAAGCTGCACTGAAACTCTCATTTAGACCTTGAACCGTTTGGTTCCCATTGAAGTCCATTATATGGAGAAAAATCCTAGAATGTTTTCATCAAAAACCTTAATTTCTTTTCGACTGAAGAAAGAAAGACATGGACATCTTGGATGACATGGGGGTGAGTGAATTATCAGCAAAAGTTGTTTTCAAAAGTGAACTACTCCTGTAAGGAGTTATGGTAAAGATTATGTGATTGTGTATTACGCGACTGTAAAAATGGCAGCTGGTGTAGAATCTTATTTGTCAGAATCAAATTTGGGGGAGAAAAAAAAAATGTGCAAAGATTGTTTGCACTCAGGGTTAAGTTTAGCATTCGCATCCAATCTAAATAAAAAATAAATAACTTTTTCAAACATGAAAACACACACTTGCAAAGCACACCAAGTGTCAATCCCAGGTCACTTATGGAAAAGTAAAGAACGATGCGGAGCGTGTGAACGCGTCCACAGCGGTGAGCCTTTGAGACGTGTTAAAATGCGCTCAGTAAGCTGGCGGCTGATAGGCGCTCTCTCCCGCGGAGGCGGGGGCGAACGGGGACTGCTGGTAACCCTCTGGAGCTCCGGCATAGGCGGAGGGGTACGGGGACGTGTGGTCACTGACGGGATCGTTGTAGCCGAGGCCAACATCCGCCAACCCTTGGCGGTAGCGTCGAAACGCGAACACAGTAAGAATTCCCTAGAGAAAGAAAGATCGGTTTGTTTCAGTTAATCAAATGTACAGTGAGGCCCTCAGGCAGCAACAGGACGACTAAACCTTCCAGTCTCTCTTTCTCTTGAATCCAACAAAGAAGTGGCGTAGGCCCCTTATTTTAACGATATGTGTATGGCGTAAGTGCACTTAAGTCCACTTTTGCAAGTATAATGAGACAAATGGTCGGCGCTCCCGGTGCAGGGTCTTAAAGGGTCGTCCCCATAGATATCTATATAAAGGCTAGATATGTCGTCCACGCTGCTGGCCAATGGAGGTCGACGTCTGCACCTGGCGGCCATCTTGTCACAGGCAGCTCGCTCACTCGTAACATTGTGTTAATGGTACATGTACTATTTAAATGACCATAACTTGCTCAATTTTCTACCGATTTTCAAACGGTTTGTTTTGTTATAAACGGCAGAGATGTAGTTATGATACTGCATACTTATGAATAAAAAGTGTATGAATAAATAATCATCCAGATAATTATAGCCACGTTAATAACGTTTGTAAGAAACCAAACCATTTGTAAATCCGTCAAGATTTCAACGAGATAAGAGTATTTGTGTTCGTGCGGACCACTCATCTTACATCAGCTTGTCTGTGACAAGATGGCCGCCGGTGATGGCGATGGAAACTCCGCCGTAACACATCTAGCCTTTATATACATATCTATGGTCGTCCCTATTCTCTTAATGAGTAATGGGTGTGTTTTGGGCGCAACGTGCAATAAACCAATCAGAGTCGAAAGTCCCATTCGCCAGTTGTGCTCGCGCCATGACGGATTCGCTATTTACATGGAGGAATTTGCAAGCGGAAAGACTGAAGAGGAAACGGATCTGAACGTGTTTGAGGATTAAAGAGGGAAGACGTTGTTATCCTTTTATTTTATTTGTAATATTTGTGTGCAATCAGTTCCCTGTGTGTGTAATAAGCAGAGTGTACACGCGTTGTGGACCCGCCTACACGCACATATTACCAGTCCTTCCAGAAAAAAGTCTTTTTGTAATTGTTGCGGGCAAAAATCCTTGATTACGCGGCCCGTTTTCTTTAAAAATGCGATGGAATATGCGGGATATTTATGCAATTTTATGCGATGAAATTGCAGGAACTTACAAAAATTGCGGGAACTTGCGGGATTCCCCCAACATCCTGTTCTCACTAGGCTACTACCTTAATGTAAAGAGTCATTTCTTATTACTTCCTTTGATAAGCAAGCATACTACATCATAGAAAGTGCTGGGAATATTTAATTTCTCATCTTGTTTTATTTCAGACTGTAATGAGTGTAAATAAGGTGTGGCCCCTTTAAGAGCTGCGCGCTCCCTGTTAAATTGTCTGCAGTGTTATATGTGCGCCTCGAACACCCCATGTGTGCGGGTAATTTCTGTTTGATCAACATGACATCATGACTTTTGCGTAAACATACACGCCAATTTCGAGTCAAATGGCGTGTTATCGCGACGGATTTTGAGCTATCCGCGTGTATGCGCGTGTATGTCTACGCCATTAACGTCCACGTCATTCCGCGTGTCTGTACACGCAGTCAAATGTCCGACCAAAACAAAGCAAAATGTACATCTGGGGACCTATGTTTTTTTCCTAGGATGGTAAGGGAACAGTCATAAATGCCATTAACCCCAGTGACGGTTAGGTTTAGGGACGGGGTTGAGGTAAGTCATATATTTATATAACGTTAAGTCAACGGCGTTCATAAACACGGCGAAAAGCGATTATGCGTGTTGATAGCACGCCAAAAATGGAAATACGAATTGGCGTGTCATACATAGGCTACTTCATGAGATCAGTCTGGTTTGATGCTACTTCTTTTATCTTTATGTTATTTATTAAGTAACGATGTGACGGTAGAACGTGTGACAGACAGTTATACGAGTTCGATTTGTGAGATGTCAATCGCCTCCGTGAGTCTTTCTGGCCTCTGCAATAACTTCAGCTGTGAGCTATCCCGTCGCGTAATTGCGTCACTTCATAACGTTCCCATGGAAACAGGGGGAAATGGCTGCTCTACACAACATTTTTCAACTTTCTGCTAAGATACGTGTGACTTTTTTGCAACGAAAATGCGAGGATTATGAAATCATGCAAACCCCGCATGTTTTGCACGGAAATCGGCAATTTATGCGGCGAAAGTGCGGTGTATTTGAAAAAATGCGGCCCCCGCATAAATATGCGGACTTTGGCTGATTTTGCATTGAATTCAGCGATTGCATAATCGCGTTTTTCTGAAGGGACTGTATTACTAAGGCGCTCTTTAAATAACAAAGATAACAACAAACCAGGTTTCGGTTGGCCAATGGTGCAGTCTATTTGTCTATTGGAAATTAAAAATGAAAATCGTCGAAACTAGAAAAAAACACTTGCGTCGGGTGCATGATAGGCCCCCTAAACTGCAATTCATTGACTGGCCACTAGACACAGGCTCCAAAAAGAGAGTCAATCTCATAAACACCCCATGTTAAAACTTTACAGCTGAAAAAATATATGTTTACAGCCTATGTTTGTAATACATATTTAATATTGATGTAGTGTGCATGACGTCACCCGTAGGTTTCTGAAGAGCATTTTTGAAGCCCAAAGTGGACCAGACCATCTTGGAGGCGCGGATAAACGAAAATGGGCAGCTATGCGGATTAGCTGAGGTGACATGACGCTAAAGAGCCGGATTAGCTGCTAACAGACGGCAGGCAAACGGCTAGTAGTGATATCAGCAGCAATCCACCCGTCACTCAAGTGGCCACGCCCTTAATTATCCAAAATTTTAAGGCTCAATTTAATTTAAAATTCATCCCCCTCACAGTTTTTATGAAGGGCAAAATTAGCTTTATATGGCAAAACCACTTTTTGCACCAGGCTGAAAAAACATTTTTCTCAGCTGTAAAGTTAGGCATTTTAACATGAGGGTCTATGGGATTGAGTCTCTTTTGGAGCCTGTCTCTAGTGGCCAGTTGATGAACTGCAGTTTGACTCACTTCTGTGGTGGATTCAAGAGAGAGACAGTTTTATGGCCGAGACGTAACCAACAAGATTCGACAACACAGTCAGCTTCCGTCGCCGCTAGTTCTTTAACGTTCGCTCGGCGTGTTGCAGCATTAAAGGGTTAGTTCACCCAAAAATGAAAATGCTGTCAGTATTTACTCACCCTCATGTTGTTCCAACCCTGTAAGACGTTCGTTCATCTTCGGAACACAAATTAAGATATTTAAGATATTAAGATCGCTCCTGCATACAGTCCATAGGCTTCTTGAGGGACTGGCTCTTGCTGTCCCCGAAAAGTCATTAAAGACATCGTTAAAATAGTCCAAGTGACTACAGGGGCTCAATCTTAAGTTTATCAAACGACGAGAACATTTTTGTGCGCAAAAAAACAACAAAAATAACGACTTTATTTCAACTATTCGTTTATTTCTCCCTCTGCGCGAGTCAGGTTACTAGTTTAATAGCGTAAGCTTCTGTTATTGTACGTCACACGCATCACACACACATGACCAGCGTCGGCCAATAGTGAGCCTACGTGTGACGTAGCTTTACACAATCACACTACGTTAACTGACTTACAGGCTCATGGAGAAGGAAGTGAATAGTTGAAATAAAGTCGTTATTTTTGATGTTTTTTTTGCGCAGGAAAGTGTTCTCGTCGTTTGATAAACTTAAGATTGAGCCCCTGTAGTCACTTGGACTATTTTAACGATGTCTTTAATGACTTTTCGGGGACAGAAAGAGCCAGTCCCTCAAGAAGCCTATGGACTAGTATGCAGGAGTGATCTTAATATCTTAAATATCTTAATTTGTGTTGCGAAGATGAACGAAGGTCTTACGGGGTTGAAACAACATGAGGGCGAGTAAATACTGACAGAATTTTCATTTTTGGGTGAACTAACCCTTTAATAAAGTAGATGTGCTCACCCAGCTGAACGTGGAGAAGAAGGAAAAGGCCACCACCGCTCGAGCTGCATCAGCTGGGACGCCGGTTTTTGTGCTTTTAGACCACTTGTTGGCTAGGTTGCAGAAACACACAAACCACAGGAACGTCCACACGCCTGAAGAGAGAACAGAGAGAAACTTTTGGTCATTAAATTCTACCAAAAAAAATTCAATTCTGCAATCAATTTCTCATCCTCACGTCATTCCAAACATAAGTCTTTAATGTCTTTCAAAGACTTTCTTTTAAGTCTTTCATTCATCTTCAAAACATACAGCAAATGGATATATTTTAGGTAACACTTTATGTACACGCTTTTTTTTTTTTCACACGGTTTTTGTCCATCCATTGAAAAAGTCCATGCAACTAAAACTTTGACGCATCAAATAGTTCAAGACATTGTAAACTAAGTCATATGAATCAAGCGGTTTAATCCAAGAGCGCATCAAACATGACAAAAAACTGCGCGAGAAATAATGAGGATTGTTTCGGCGCATGACGAACATGTTTGAGCGTCCATGTTTGATGTGCTCTATGTGCGTGCGTTGATCCTAAAAAGTGATAGTCAAATAAACACTCACTTTCCATTTCTTTTCACAAGACTTAGAATTAACCACTCGATTCATATGGATTCGTTTTCCATCAACTTCGAAGTTTAGGTTGGTTTAGAATATAAAAATAAAAATCTAAATTAGTGTTTCGAAGACAAAGTCTTGATAGGTTTGGAACGACATGACCCCTAAATTAAACCGGTTCGTCACATAAATCGATCACATCTCTCCACAAGACTTGGATTAAACCACTTGATTCATATAGATTAGTTTGAGAACGCCTTTATGATATTGTGAATCTTTAAAGTTTTAATTTTGTGGACAGAAACCTCTCAGATTTCATTATTGTCTTTCGACGACACACAAAACTGTCATGCGGTATCAGTAAACGATGAAAGAATTGAGATGTTTTAAGGACAAGCGTACACAAGGAACAAAAATATGGCTATTATGACATTAAATCAATGGTTATGCTGCTAGAAATCTGAAGGAAAAATGTGTTGCCGTAACACCATCCATCTGTGTCCGGCACACGGCTATTTGGATGGACACCACCAGTCAAAAGTTTGGGGTTAGTCTCTTCTGCTCACAAAAGCTGCATTTGATTAAAAAAAAAAAAAAGAAAAAAAAAAAGTAATGTTGTTAATAGGGCTGTCGAACGATTAATCGCATCCAAAATAAAAGTTTGTGTTTATATAATATATGTGGGTGTACTGTGTATAATTATTTTATATATATAAATACACACACATGCACGTATATTTAAGAAAAAAAATGTATTTATATATAAAATTTTTATATTTATATATAATATAAATTATATATAAATCTATATACAGTATATACATGGAACTATTTCTTAAATATATACAAGTATGTGTGTGTATTTGTATGTATAAAATAATTATACACAGTACACCCACATATATTTTGTAAACACAAACTTTTATTTTGGATGCGATTAATCGCGATTAATCGTTCGACAGCCCTAGATATTATGACAAAATAACTGTTTTCTAATTGAAAATATCATTTATTCCTGTGATCAAAGCTGCATATTCCTCAGTGTCACATCACCCTTCAGAAATCACTCTAATATGATGATTTGATGCTCAAGAAATATTTATTAGTATTTTTATCAATGTTGACAACAGTTTTTTTTCAGGATTATTTGATGAATAGAAAGTTCAAAAGAACACCATTTATCTGAAATATCATTTTTTTGTAACTTTTTTTCACTTTTGATCAATTTAATTCATACTTGATGAATAAAAGTATTGATTTCTTTTATTTCTTTCCCCCCAAAAAATTTAATAAAACTTTTGAACCTTAGATTTGAATGTTACAATATCTCTATCTTTCTTCAGATAAATGCTGTACTCTTGAACTTTCTATTTAAAGAATCCTGAAATAAAGTGTAAATAATGTTTTCTGGACTGGCGTAATGATGCTGAAATTCAGCTTTGATCACAGGAAAACATTTCACTTTACTATATATTCACATAGAAAACAGCTCATTTAAATTGTCATGATATTTCACAATATTACTGTTATTTTGTATTTTTAATCAAATAAATGCAGCCTTGGTGAGCAGACGAGGCATTAAAAATCTCCCCGACCCCAAACCTTTGCCTGGTAGTGTACATGGGATTGCTTGAGCTCTGTTGTTCTTCATCAAGTTGCACTTCTCTTAACTTTGGCGTGGCGCCCACATCTAGTTGGCAATGGTTATCGACACCGGCTCGCTCAATGAAAATGAAAGAATTCAGGTCGCTGGCGGTGTGCACTTGGCTTTCAAGCTCACTTGAAGCAAATATGTGGCTATTAAAAAAAAACCCTGTACTACTTTCTTACCAGAGAAAACAAGATCAACCAAGACAATGTATTTCCTCTCTTTGGCATTGCTTATCTGGTGGAAGAGGGCATCCAGAATAATGAAGACAACACAGGCCAGGAAAGCTAAAATCCCGATAGCAATCCCATAGCTGCAAGCACTGTCATTCCCATCAAACATGCATTTAGTTTCCACGTGAGTCGTCTCATTGATGTATCCTTCAGAGAGGATGGTGGCGAACACCACTACGGAGAAGAGCTGCGGGCGAAAGAAGGACAACGTCAGATCAGCACACCGAAGAAACTGCTATTGAGAGATAACAGAAGTTCACGGAGAACAACACTGTATGTGTGAAGGCGTGGCGGTCTCACAAGGTGTTTACTTTGGTTATTAAAAAAAAGCACACAATAGAGTACATTACCATACAGCAAAAGCAGAAGTATGCCAGTAATGCCAGCATTTGGCCATCTACAGTTCTTTCTGCCTAAAGATGTAACTATTAAAATATAAGCTAATTTTTGTGAAATATTTAGCATGAAAAGTGTGCTTGTACCATCTTTCTCATAAAACAGGAGTTTCACTAGTCTTTATTCCCCTTTTATATCCGAGTGAAACTGATTCTGGAGCAAATGTGGGGCGGGACTTCAATCTGTCCATCAAGAATTGATTGGATGGTTGAAAAAATAAAATAATTCTGCATTATGATTTCCACAGAATTATCTTATTATCTTATAATAAGAAGAAATGTTTCTTGAGTCAGAAATCAGCATTAATTCTTATCATGAAGAATCATGAAGACTGGGGTAAACATGCTGAAAATATAGCTTTTGATCACAGGAATAAATAGATGTTAAATTGTAATAATAGTACAGTTTTTACTGTATTTTTGACCAAATAAATGAAAAATGAGAATTAAAAATCTTACAGACCCCAACTTGTGAAGAGTATATTGTACAATAATGCATTTACAATTTTTTGGGTAGATTGGTACAAGTCACTGACTAATAAGTTAAGCACTGTGAATGCAACCTGGGAAACATTGCTACGGGATAGTTTGTGGGGAACCACCATGTGGGCTAGTTCCTATAACAAAGTTCCCATAATTACCTGTTGCGAAAGTCCCTAATATTCCATAGACAAATACGAATTTTCAATTTTGATTTCATGGTGACTTTCAAAACAATATTTAAAATGCACTGGCATTCATGCACTTTAAGTGTGGCAAGAATGTCGCAATGTTATTGGGGGCCACTGTGAGATGTAATGATCAGTGTTGAGTACTTCACTCCCAAAAACGAATTAATTACATCTTCAAAAAAGCATTTAGATTACTGTACGTATTACTCTCTTATTACTTCAACCTCAATACGTCTTCCAGATGTAAAAAACACATCAAATAGACTTGTGCTATCTGGGAAAGGGTTGCTATATTGCTCTACATTAACTTAATGACATCAGAAGTAACTGGAATTAAACTACATAAATATCAAAATCCCTTAACTTTTTCAACGGAAAAGTATTTAAATACAGTTTAGATTACAGCAACACTGGTTGTGATGACTAAATAAATGTGTAACGTTAGTTACTAAATTGTTTTGTTTTGAAAGAAAGAAAGAAAGAAAGAAAGAAAGAAAGAAAGAAAGAAAGAAAGAAAGAAAGAAAGAAAGAAAGAAAGAAACTAGCTGCGTACAAGTAACGTTAGAGCTCATGCTAAAGTTGACATGACATCTCGATAACTTTGTTGTCGAGTCACATGACGATCGAGGCAAACCACAACAACAAACTCTCAAACTGCTGCCATATGGTCAGTCCTGTTATGACAGTTTTTTGCGAACAAACACTGTTAAACTACATCGCAGTCTGAGGCTAGCAGCAGTAGTAACGTTAATATGACAAACTTTCATATAGCATAAGCACTAGCTCGATTAGCTACCGACGACTCTGATCTCACCCAACTGATCAGCCTGGCGATAGTCTGCGGTTGCTTTATAAAGCTCCAGAAATCAAAGGCCCCACCGGCCAACGAAGCCCCGTAAGCACTCGACTCCATGACCGCTTTACTGAGACTCTAGCACGTCTAGTTATTGCCGACAGATTCGGCAAACTGTCCAGCGTGATATTACAAAAATTACTTTCACACTTGTTTCCTGAAAGTAGTGCACCGCCCTTCAAGGAAGTACACGTCACGTCAATGCTAACTTTCCCACAGGCAGGCAGTCAGTTATTCTATCTATCTATCTATCTATCTATCTATCTATCTATCTATCTATCTATCTATCTATCTATCTATCTATCTATCTATCTATCTATCTATCTATCTATCTATCTATCTATCTATGGTATTCAACATAATAAGTCATCACTGTTTTGACTGATTAAATCTCACAAATGTTATTCAGATGAAATAACAAAATTAAAAATAGCTGACCATTAAAAGTGCTGAGATGAGGCTTTGTTTCATCTGTGGTTTTAGGGAAAAAAATGAAAGGTGGGGGGTGGTTCATCTTACCCCTGGGGCATCTTTCCCCCATGTGACACACAACATCCTGCAGACTCTGCTATCTATCTATCTATCTATCTATCTATCTATCTATCTATCTATCTATCTATCTATCTATCTATCTATCTATCTATCTATCTATCTATCTATCTATCTATCTATCTATCTATCTATCTATGGTATTCAACATAATAAGTCATCACTGTTTTGACTGATTAAATCTCACAAATGTTATTCAGATGAAATAACAAAATTAAAAATAGCTGACCATTAAAAGTGCTGAGATGAGGCTTTGTTTCATCTGTGGTTTTAGGGAAAAAAAATGAAAGGTGGGGGGTGGTTCATCTTACCCCTGGGGCATCTTTCCCCCATGTGACACACAACATCCTGCAGACTCTGCTATCTATCTATCTATCTATCTATCTATCTATCTATCTATCTATCTATCTATCTATCTATCTATCTATCTATCTATCTATCTATCTATCTATCTATCTATCTATCTATTTGACATATGGCATGAACAGCTTAAATATTTATGAGTGTAGGCTACTGTAGGAGTTTTCCAGTGTTGTTCTGCTGTTTGTTCGGGCGTAGGCCTGATGTTTCATCACTCTACACACAAGGGTTGCCCTCTATAGTTTACACAGCTCTCTGTGGTCTAACTGAAGAAGTATTGTTTGAAGGAGGACCACGTGGACTCAATCTGTAGTCACTTATTCACAGACACTTTTATCATACTTTACAATGTTCACTTTAAACACCCTAAGACTTTTTTTATTGTTGGTTTTTTTTCTCATTTTAATTCATCTTTCAAAACTACAGGATGTACAAGTATTAGTGAACATAGCCCCCTAGATGGCAGTATTATACTTTAGTTTTACTGTAACTAAAAGGTAGTTCACCCAAAAATTATTAAATCATCATTTATTTACCCTCATATTTTCCAAACCTGTTTTCCTAGTGGATCTCAAAAGAAGGCATTTTGAAGAACACCCCTGTTTGAGGCATTTTTAAAAATATACTTTACTGTCCCATAGAGTAAAATAAATTAAAAAAAAGTTTTGCAGGCTGGAATGATATGATGACTAGATTTCCATTTTGGGGATGAAATTTGGACACTTCAGCCACAGTTACAGATTTGTATTTAAATAAATTACTATAAAACTAATGGCATCAAAAATGGCAGTATAGTTTTAAAGAAATATAGCAGAAGCACTCTTTTCAGTCGAAGCATTGTGCTGTGTTTTCATGTTTTATGGGGACTTCACTTGGACATAATGATCTTTTTACTGAACAAATAACGCAGAAGTAATGTAATGCAATTATTTACTTTTTTAGGGAGTAATGCAATATTGTTATGCATCACTTTTAAAAATACAGCAAACAGCAAAATACATGTTTTAATTTAGCCTCAATGCAGATGTTAATACAGGCAATGGTTGCAACATTAGAAAATACACTTACATTACTCAACTCATGCAATTAGTTCCCACAGTGAAGGTGAGACACAGCCCTAAGGTTGACTTAGGTCATTGGATGCTCTGTGGCAACGGCATTTAAAGCTGCAATACCTAAGATTTAGATGCCGCTAGAGGGCGCTAAATTCAAAACAACAACAACGGCTTTGCTTGATGACGCCGTGGAGGAACGCGGAATGATGGGAACTGTTGTTTTCAACTCCACCGTGGATAAATCAGTCAGACGGGAATCGAAAATTAGTTGTCATGGATGAGGTAAAGTTCGATTTCTATAAACGTTGCGTTTAATGACATGCTTGTTTTTCATTAAACTGAAATAACCGCAAGAAAAGTCAGGTTTAAAAGTAAATTAGTTACTGTACGAGTCACTGGACGAAGCTATGGTGGAGAGGGTTTGAAGGGGCAGGTCTCTTGCAAGGTCGTTGACGTGGCTGGTCCTCCTTGGTAACTTTATAAAAATAAAAAATCTATTTAATGTACATTTGACACATCTTTTCATGTCGTGTAAGTAACCACAGCTACAGTTTCACAAAATTAACGTTAAGGGGGTCGCACACCGGACGAGAAGCTGCAGCGCCGCGTCGTGCCACATCTTTAAAATTCGAACACATTATTATCTATAAGTGTAACGTTACACATACCGGCAGCGCCATTCGGCGTCTGTCCGCGGCGCCCAGCAACGTCTCAGGACCGTGTTCAAAATCCTGCCGCGCCACAGAGCGCCATTTACATAGTTTTATATAAAATTTTTATTATTTTTGTCTCAAATCGTTGCTAATGGATCCTGACTTTGCCCTATGCTGCAATATGCATTTAGTTTTGCAGTCATTTACAGAAATCAGCTGCTTGAATGACAATTGCTGATGTTATTAGAATTTTCAGGTGAGATTCTCAATTCATTCAGTGAACGGATGATCTGAGGTAAAGTTTTCAGAATGCAGACTCTGCAACGATTGTATTTAATTGTACAGTACAATCATAACATAGAACAGACATTATCTTCATTTCCTGTCATTAAACATAACAAAATTGCTGGCCATACACTGATGAGAAAGTGCGCGTCCGGTGTGCGATAACGTTACTGGAGTTGTCCTAGATGTGGCGCGGCGCTTCTCGTCCGGTGTGTGACCCCCTTTACAGCCAACAGTTCACATTCCCAGAATAAATGAAAAGAATAATTGTGCTCCATTCCATAACAAATGTGCGAAACAAGCTGACGTTTGTTGCTTGATAGACGCTAACGCACAACTACAACTACCGCATTTGTCCAGGACTACACTTAGTACGAGCGGAAACTGAGGTAAGCGAATATGACGCGATTGACTGGCGACTCCCAGCTCACCCCTGCTCATGCGCCCCGTTTCCTTGGTTAAAATCTAAATTTTCTCGCGATTTAAACATTGTTTGAAACATTTGAAATATTGTGAGTTATCATCATATCTAAATATATAACACTGGCCTTGTGATTTTGGGATATTTTAATGCAAAAATCTATGGTAAGGCAGCACAGGCGTACAAGCCAATTGGGTCGCCCCGCGCCTTGGCAAATCAGAGCCCGCCAGGATGGGCGTGGCGTAAGCTATCTAGACCCCTTTTGCGCCGACGTCACAGTTACGTCACGGCGCTAGCTGGAGGCAAAACAAAGTGAAAACTGGAGGCGGCCAATGCAAACCAGCACAGATTCGGCTACATAATAAGGAGCTTAAATAATTGTGACTATTATTAAATGTCATCTTGTTGTGTTGTTTGGTGCAAGAATTGATGAAAAATGAATATGATGTATCTGGAACTTTTATTTCTAGAAAATATTCACATCATTAAAATCGCACTGTAACGTAATCGTCACTCTTTACATTGTCGTGGTCTCGGCGCTGGCTCAGCAGAACTGCGGATCGTACACACAAGTCTTGTACAGGACCAAATAGACATCTAAAGATTTATAAGCCCTCAGTTTCTCTTTACGATCGGTTTCTCTATAAGGTAGGTGTAGAAGTCAGGCCACTCACCCGAGGTAACGTAACGTTAATCCTGTCAGATCATCCATTCATTGAGTGAGCGTGTAGGCGGCTAAAGGTCACTCAGCAGCAATCCGCCGCTCAAAAATAATGAAAGCAGGTAGGCGCCCACTATAAAGTACGCACCCCTGCTCCCGAACACTATTTCTACTGTGTCTATTCACCCTCCAGCTCAAGCTGCAAGTATGACGAATATGAGTGGTGTGGCCAGTGTAAAAAACACACCACCGTACACAAACGCTGTCTCCAGAGCATTACTTACACAAAACGCCTGGGTGAGTTTATGAGTCCCTATCACAAAGCGACACGTCCCCAGACATCAGTGTTGTAGTCGAGACCATCTCACTCGAGTCCGAGTCGACACCGAGTCCATAGAGAGTCGAGTCCGAGTCGAGTCCGAGACCAGAGACGTCGAGTCCGAGTCGAGACCGAGACCAGTGAGGGTTGATTACCTAATTTACTTTTATTTACTTAGAGAAATCCTTTTTTTTTTTTTTTTTTTTTTTACTGAATTTACTTAGAGTTTAAAAAATATGATCAGTTTAGGGTAAAAAGGCCACATAGTAGGTGGTGTTAAAAGTAATTTTATTACAATTTGTCATGCGCAGTTGCGCACTAGAAAATCACCAATCACTGGGCGTGTCAATCAATTTAAAGAAATATTTTATTCACATACATTAATAATCATGAAAAATATTTTGAATTGAACACGAGTGGACTCGGGAATAATTCAGAGTCCTAAAAAAAAAAAATGTTCGAGTACGAGTCAATTCCGAGTCCAAATGGACACGAGTCCATGACAAGACCAAGACCATTAAAATATGGTCTCGAGACCGAGTCCGAGACGAGTCCGAGTCTCGAGTACTACAACACTGACAGACATCATCCGACCTCTGGCTTTGAAGGGCACGGCCTGGGCTGCTGAGTGTAATAAAACAGGCCTACTCACTACCGTTCGCGCACAGACCACCGCAATTTTTAGCTGTGGTCAAAACAACTCTATAGAGCGAAGTGACACACGTCCTTCACACGAAGTGTCGAAACTGTGAGAAAAAGGGGCTGTGGAACCAGTCCCTGACTGTGTCACAAAGTGAGTCAGGCTTTCACAGCTGCTACTTCCTCGTTCCGAAGAAGGACGGCGACCTCAGATCTATTCTAGATCTCAGACATTT